GAGAGGAGGAGAGACAGAGAGGAAGATCTTCCGTCCAATGATTCACTCCCCAAGAGGCCACAATGGCCAGTGCTATGCCAATCCAAAGCCAGCATCCAGAAACTTCTTTCCGGGTCTCCCACACAGGTACAGAGTCCCAAGGCTTTGGGTTGTCCTTGACTGCTTTCTCAGGCCACAAGCAGGGAGCTGAATGGGAAGTGGAGCAGCCAGGATTAGAACTGGTGCTGATATGGGATCCTGGCACGTTCAAGGTGAGGACTTTAGCCACTAGGCCATGCCGCTGGGCCCTCTAATTATTCCTCTTGTCAATTGCACTGTCCTATTTAGTCTCCCAGGGAAAGTGTCCCAGATGTGGAATTTTCAGGTCATACGTAGGGGCCCAACATTGCGGGGCAGTGAGCTAAGACTCATTTAGATGTGACAATGGCATCGTATCAAAGTGCCAACTTGAATCCTGGAGGGGGTTTCTGGCTTCAGATTGGCGCAGCACTGGCTGTTGTGGTCACTTGGGGAGTGAATCATTGGACGGAAGATCTTCTTTGTCACTCCTTCTCTCTGTATACCTGATTTTGCAATAAAAATAAAATAAATCTTAAAAAAAAAGAAAGAAAAGAAAAACAATTAGAGACATGCCAAGTGCCCAGAGGCAGGTAAGAAGGGTGGGTGATGGCACGGTGCTGGAGTTGCTGCCTCGGGCCCCCACACCCCACGTGGCCGAGTGCCCGGGTCGGGCGGCTGGCTCTCAGCTTCCTGCTAATGCAAGCCCTGAAAAGTGTCAGTGGAGGCTCAAGAACTGGGTCCCCTCACTGTGCAGGTGGCCTGGCCCAGCCCCTGCCGCTATGGCATTTGGGTAGGGAAGCAGTGAAGGGTGGATTCATGCTAGTCTCTCCACCTTTCAAATAAACCCAAGTAAAGAAATACATTAATAAAAAGAGTTGACTTAACCCAAAAACCCTAGAATCCATCACTGGTAGCCTGAATTCAGAGCTGTAGCAAGAGGGCAGCTTCTCGCAGGGTCCCAAAAAGTCTATTTTTAGGGACACCTATTTCTACTTCCTCAGAATCCTCCACAACAAATGCTATTTCCTCGGTCAGTTTGACCAGAAGAATGATAGTTTCCAGTTAGAACTGGGTGTTCAGACACCTGCCAGGAGAGACTTGGATGCTAACCGTGGCCAAGAGCTGGACCCCAATACGTAACACACAGCTGGCAGCGCCCAGGAGAGGGGGCAGCCCCATCCTAAGAGCAAGTGGCGAAACAGAACTTCAAGCTCTGCCAACAGGAAGATCGTCACCCACAGGGTGCCCTGTGCCATGGCGTACTCAGGGTGGAATTGGGTATCCTCTACTGTATTCCATGGACCCCGAGTCGGAGCAGTGACCGTAATGGAGGTGAAATGTCCGGGTCCCTGTGGTTTGCTGTGTCCTCTCGTAGTTGGGGGCGGGGCTGACCAGAGCACCTTGTCACTGATGCCAGTCTCAGGTATTTTGGGAGATGCCGTCTTTGAATGCATTTCCTTTGTAACATGTGCAGGAACTCAGGGTGTGTGGCCAGCTCCTGCCTGGGGCTGTCTGCCACTGTGGATGGGCGTGAAGTGTGTTTTTCTTCCACTGGAGAACTCCCCAGGAGTACCCACACTTTGTTTGCAGCCATCTTGGGGTCTCAGTCAGCTTTTCATGGCCAAAATAAATGCCCAACTTCTCTATGAAGGGGTATGTTGCAACCATCTTATGTACTTCTGGTCCTAAGTGGGTAGCCACTGTTATTATTTTTGGCCATACACATGGAGGGAATAATTTATTTTTCCCTTTTCATGACAATGAGCAGCTTACAGATGAGGGGGTGCTTGTTGACGGCCACCAGAGGGCGCAGCACGCCCCACTCCGCCCCATCTCCCCACCAAACCACCAGAAAAGCTTAGTTTGCAAAACTGATTTCATCCAAAAACAGGATCATAGGCCAATGCCGAAGCATCACTATTCTAGGCATAGCCAAATGGACGTTTTGTGAAAATCAGAAGCTCCTGCGGCACCCCATGGGTGTGGGGCACCATGGATGTGGGGCACCTTGTGGATGTGGGGCACCATGTGGGTGGGTGACAGCTTGTGGATGTGGGGCACCCCTGTGAGTGTGCACCCCATGAGTGTGCAGCACCCCTGTGGGTTATGTGGCACCCTGTGGGTGTGTGTGGCAGCATCTGGGGACCCAGGCGTGTGCACCCAAGCCCTGCTCCTCACAACAGCTAGTCCGACAGCTTTAAGCTTGGCAAGCTGATGGGCTGGTCTGCCGTAGCCTGTAACCCCACTCCCGCAGAAAGCTGTGGCCCCCCACCTCCCAGGCAGGGGACACGGCCTCATCTACCCAGGGAAGGGGGAGGTGAGGGCAGCTTGTGGGGAGAAGCAAATGCCTCTGTCCTCTGAAGTGACTTCTCTCTACCTCCTCCCGCCAGGAGGGGAGGGCACGCATGTGGGAGGGCGCAGGGCTGCAAGGACTGGCATGTGAGTGACTTCTCTCTACCTCCTCCCGCCAGGAGGGAGGGCACGCATGTGGGAGGGCGCAGGGCTGCAAGGACTGGCATGTGGAACATACTCGGCAAGCAGGAGCTAGCCACACAAACACCACACAGACATACACACACACCTCATGCATACTACACACTCACACATACATCTCACAAACACCACACACATGACCACATATACCTGCACATAGCACATACATATTATACTACACACAGGCACACAGCGCATGCATATCACACTCATATGTACACACATCACCAGCACACACCACGCACACACTCTACCACACCCCTTGCACATACCACAGACATCACATGCTACACACATCCATACACAGCACACAGAGCACACATACACACACCACCCACACAGCACATACTATACACACCCCTGAGCATGCCACATACACACCACACTACACACAGCACACACACCTGCACATGCCACAAACACATCAAACACCACATACACACCACGCGCTACACACAGCACACACACCTGTACATGCCACAAACACATCAAACACCACATATACACCACGCGCTACACACAGCACACACACCTGTACATGCTACACACACCCCTGAGCATACCACATACACACCACACTACACATAGCACACACACCTGCACATGCCACAAACACATCAAACACCACATACACACCACGCGCTACACACAGCACACACACCTGTACATGCTACACACACCCCTGAGCATACCCTGTACATACCACATACTACATACAGCACACACACCTGCACATGCCACAAACACATCAAACCACACACAGGGGGACAGGAGCAGGACTCCCAGAACACAAGGGAGAAGTGATGGAGCGTTGTAGACAAAGCTCGAGGGTGGGGCAGGTACCAGGGAGGTGACAGGGGACAGCCAGACAGGGCAGAGTGGCTGTGGGTGGGAGGTGAGAGCAACCTCAAGAAGTTTGGATTGGGAGGGAAATCAAGGCAGAGAGGGTGGGCCAGAGCTGAAGGGGGTACAGGACTGAAGGAAGGGCTTGTGACACAGACCTGGGTTACTGGACTGCTTGAATGATTTAGGGCTGAGATGAAGGGCCCAGAGGAGAAGGGAGACCCCCCATTCCTGTCCAGTGCAACCCTTCCCTCCTTGAGTTCCACCTGTCAGTTTCTGCAAGCATCTTGGATCTTACAGAAGCACGGCCTGTGGGAAGGCCCCCTTTGGGCAGCCTTGCCCAAGTGCGGCCAGACTCCAGCCTTCACCACTCTCCCCTGGCCCTTCTGCAGGGTAACAGCCCAGGGGGGTGAGTGACAGGGTCCTGCATAGGGTCCTGAGAGCTGAACTGTGACTTTCAGCCTGTACACGTCAAGGATGGGACCACTTGTGGTCCACCCTGGACACCTTAGGCAGCTTTACAGCATCCACTTGGACAGATAGACATGGGTCTCTACTTAATTTATCAGTTGCCTCTCCCAGCCAGGATTTCTCCATCTGGTTCATCACCTACGGACATGTGGACACCTGCTGACAAGGGTCCTGCACCTGCGGTTGTGGCCAGTGCCTCTAGTATCAGGAAACAAGTAGGCACATGCTGCCACACGAGGACTGAGGCCTTTAACACATGGAGACATGCAGGTCTTGCTGCAGCTGGGCCTGAGTCCAGGCATACCTCAGTCTGCACCCTCCCATCGGGAGCTGCCCTGACCTGACAAAGGGCCTCGTGCCTGCAGCTCCCAGGTCTGCCTGTGTCCCTCTCGCTGTTGGCCGTCAGCCCATCCTGCGCTGAGTCCCTGCTCAGCACTATCGCTGCCCAAGCACAGGTCTTTGGTGCTGCCTGTCTCTCGGTGAGATGCTGATGCTGCCCTGAGCTCGGAACCCTTCCCCTCAGAGGTGGCTGGCTGCTGAGAAACCTTCCTGCTTGCCAGAGCCTGGCAGACGTGGGTGCTCAAGAGCGTTCATTTGAGGAGATTGTCTTTCTTTCCTAGAATGTGTCCAGTCCCTCTGGTAGGCAGGGCTGAGGCAAAAGGAAGGAGACGGTCCGCTCCGAGAGAAGGGGCCATGCCAGAGAGGGAGCTGTCTGCTCCGGCCTCTCCTCTGGGGCCTCAGCCCTCACTGTCTTCCCATCAGGTTCGTTTTTTAACTTCTCATCTCTCAATCGGGGATGCAATACAAAAAGTCCTTTTTCTACCCCCGAGAACTTCTACTCTTTCTGGAAACCTCTTGAACACACTGTGAAGGAATAAAGTTAAAACAAACAGCCATGAGTGCGTGTGCACTGTGGAAAGGCCCATCCCGTATCATACCTCAAAGACAAACGTCAAGGTCATGGGCCTTGTTCAGGTACAAGTGGGGAACCGTTGGTGACAGCTGATGACCAGACTGAAACACAGGGGATCCCACGTTGTAAGGAATGTTTCTTCCGGTCCTGGAGACAGGTTCACAGGTTCTAATGTGTACACACACAGATATGAAAGCAATGCCATGCTAAAGACTGTAGGAATTTTAGAATTCATTTAATTACATTATGTAATAATAATATCAGTCTATTTTACAAGTTAAATGTGTGAGCATGTATGAAATAGAAATGATAGGAAAAAACTAGACGTGGGTCGGGAACATAAAGTTTCCCGGAAGCAGGGGCCGAAGGAAGACGTGGGGCCTGCAGGGCCCCGGGCGGGCGCCTCTGCCCTGGATGGTTGGCCCCCACGTCTGCACCAGGAAGGAGTTGAGGCACCGGTCCCGCCTCGGCGTGGGTTTGGGCATTTAGTCTGGTCAGTGAGGAAAAAACCACCTGGTTATCTACACAGATCTGGTCCCTGGTGGCCGCAGGTGGGGTCTGCCAGGGAGTGAGGTGCCAAAATTCAAACATTTGGAGGAAAAAAAAGAGCAGAGGTGGCTTCCTCTCCCTCCCTCGCACAGCCCCAGATCCTTGAAAGGTGCGCGTGCTCCTCTCTCAGACGTAGAACAGTCTCACTCTGGACGTGCTGACAAGAAGATCGTCGTCAAAGAACTTGGTTTCTATGATAACGTTCCCACTGCAAGCAGGGAGACAGAGGGCGAGAGTGTGAGCGGGTCAGGCGCCACTTCCCTGTGCCACCCGCTCTCTGTGCGTGTGCTCCAGAGCCGTGGCTGGGGACGCTGACACGCTAGGCTACGTGCGGCTGCACTCCTGCCAGGACGCTGGGAGCCAGAGGGTGTGCCTCTGGGGACACCCCTGGCTGGGCCACACAGGGGGGCCTGCGGACCTAACGGGATGATCTGGGGGACAGCTGGGGACTGCGCTCTGCCCTTGAGCAGGGTCCTTCCTGGGCCCGCTCCACGGCCTCCTGCCCTGCGTGCTGCACGCAGGCCCAGCCCCCACCCTCCCCCGCCGCCCAGCGGAAGCCGGAGCGTGCATCTGTGGCTTGCACACTAGGGGCCAGACAGAGTCCATATCCTTGGTCGGGGGCTGCTGAGGTCAAGGCAGCTGTTCTGGGGACCCTGCAAAGTGAGATATGACTTAGCCTGACGATGTTAACACACACTGCCTGGTTTTAATGCTTGAAAGAAATCGGGCCTGACCAAGAAGTCCAACGAAGGTTATTAAGATCTGAAAACAAAATAAAAACTAAATGCCCTCCTATACGGTCCTGTATTTTCCCAGCACGATTACTAACTAGTAGATACATTTCTGCTTAGTATTAATTACTCCAGTGGTAAATAAATGATCAATCCCTAGGCTGCTGACAGGCCAGAATGACTGGGTTTGAGTCCTGGCACTGCTCCCGTTACAGCCCCCTGCCAGCATGTCCCGGGAGGCACCAGCTCATGGCCCAGGGGGCTAGGTCTCTGCTACTTGCGTGGAAATCTGGGTTCAGTTCCCACTTCCAAGCTCCAGCCTGGCTTCGCTCTGCCCATTGTGAGCATCTCGGGGAATGAACCTGCCTGCACGCCTGCTCTCTCTCAAATTAAAACAAGATTCGTGAAGAGAAAACCATTAGGGGATGGTGCTGTGGTGTGGTAGGCTCATCCTCTGCCTGGGGCTGGCATCCCATACAGGTGCTAGACTGAGTCCTGGCTGCTCCACTTCCGATCCAGCTCCCTGCTAATGACCTGGGCAAGCAGTGGAGGATGGCCCAAGTGCTTGGACCCCTGCATCCATGTGGGAGGCCTGGAAGAAGCTCCTGGCTTCCAGCTTTGGACCAGCCCAGCTCTGGTTGTCATCCGGAGAGTGGACGAACAGATGGAACACCTCTCTGAACTATTTTCTCTCTTTAACTTTGATTTTTAAGTAAAAAAAAAAAAAATCTTAAAGATAGAAGAAACAAACAAAAAGGAAATATCTCATTTACAAATTAAATTGGCTTTCTTTTTTTTAAGATTTATTTTTATTGGAAAGTCAGATATATATATATAGAGGAGGAGAGACAGAGAGGAAGATCTTCCGTCCGATGATTCACTCCCCAAGTGAGCGCAATGGCCAGTACTGCACTGATCCGAGGCCAGGACCCAGGAACCTCCTCCAGGTCTCCCACACGGGTGCAGGGTCCCAAGGCTTTGGGCCATCCTCTACTGCTTTCCCAGGCCACAAGCAGGGAGCTGGATGGGAAGTGGAGCTGCCGGGATTAGAACCAGCACCCATATGGGATCCCAGTGCGTTCAAGGCGAGGACTTTAGCTGCTAGGCCACGCTGCCAGGTCCTGAATTGGCTTTCATTCAGAACCTCCTGGAAGGGCTGCCCCCACATGGCGGGCGTCCGTGTGGTTCCTTCATGGGGCCCTGCCACGGAGATGCCACAGAAAGACTGTTGTCACTGCCTGAGGAAAGTGGCAGCTGCACAGTTCCTGACCACGTTTGTAGCTACAGAGAGAGAGGCAGAGATAGAGAGAAGCAGAGTGAACGGTCTTCCTTTCGCTGGTTTATGCCTCAAACGGTGCCTAGGGTCAGGACTGGGTCAGGAGCAGTCTCCCACATGGGGCAGAGGCCCATTCCCCACTGCTTTCCCAGGCACATGAGCAGGGCTCTGGATCGGAATCGGAGCGGCTGGACTTGAAGCAGTTTCCATATGGGATGCACTGCAGAACCTGCTATGCCACAGCACCAGGCCCTCTTATCTAAATTTTTTTATTCCTTTTTATCATCATGCCTCTTTCATAAGATGCTCAGCAACTTATAAACTCAGCTCCCTGTCTCCCCTGCCCTCTTGTCTCAGCTTGGCTGCTGGCTCCCTGACAGAACTAGGAGCCCCACCTGCCTACAATGCCTGCTGCTAGACACACTTCCCAGGTCCCTGCAACCTGCACACTCACGTTAGGACGCTTGCTGGCATCATCTGGGACTCGGGTGCTGCCTCTATCAGGGACTGCCAGGTATTTGTGGAGTTGGGAATCACAAAGCCAAATTCGAAGAACCATTCTGAAGGAAGAAGGAAAAGCTGGGGTGAGCAGGTGCACCCATGTAAAGTAGGGGAATCTGTGTCCCCCTCCAAAGGTGCCAGAAACCTCCCAGATTAGAGACCTAGGAAAAGGACACGAAGCCTCCTCAGGCTGCCTGCTCTGAATCCCACAGAGCCCCGAGGCTAACATCAGGTGAGGATTAGCTGGCAGGCCGCTGTGCCAGCAGTGTTCTGCCATGTGGGGGCTAGACATGAACTACAACACAAGTCTCTTTCTCACTGGGAAGTTTAGCTCAAACCCCCTTTCACTGCATGGTGAGGACTCAACACAGGGTGGCCAAGCCATTCCCATGTTGGAATACGGCATGTAGATCTCTGATCGCAGCCCTGATCATGGCCAGTTTCCTCCAGGACCACATGGTGACACTGCAGCAGGGCCGATCCACGCATACACAGCCAGGTTCTGGGCAGCAGGGACCTGCAAGCCCCCAGCAAGGGCCTGCCTTGGTTTGTTTGGTGGGGGAAAAGCAGGTTTCCTGATCCTGCAGGGTGTTGAAGTCCTATCAGAAACTGATATGACAAGAAAGTTCTGGAAGCACTGCTTTGTCTTTCGTCCCTGCCACCCTAACTCTGAATGCAGGGTAGCACGATACCTTCTAGGCATTGTCCTTTGAAGTAAACTTTTTGTTCCAGGCGGAATTTTTCCATTTGCTCTGCTGAGGAGAAGTTCAGCTCTCGTGACACTGCTTTGCACTTGAGGATTTTCTTGGGAACACGGGCTGATGAGAGAAAAAGAACTGGTGAAGCTGCGCTCAGGGAAAATCGCGTGGATACCACGCCTCGTTTCTGGGTGTTTCTTACATCTGTCTTAGACGACACAGCTTGCGCGTGACGTTTCTGATTGCGCCCTGGCAGCTGTGTTTTACTGTGGCTGAAGGCAGAGCCCTCTAATGGGCCACTCCTTTCTGAATGACCTGCTGAAGCCCAGGCTAGGGTACCTCTGGTTCTCATTGCTACTGCCCTCAGGTCCAGGGCCTTGTGCTGGTACCTTCCTTCTAGCTCATTCTATTGGTTTTAACTTCTTAGTTTTTCTTTGCCTTCAGGTAGCTAAAAATGTGGTTTTCTTTGGAGAGGATGGGGAGAAGCTGAGGTCTTGATTTATACATGTAGGTCTGTTCTAAGACTAAAATTTCAGCACAAAATGGGTTTTGGGAAGTGGGTGAAAGGAACAAAAATGGCAATGATACGTGACTCAATAGCTGTGCCTTGGGGGCTCACCCACGTGTCAGGGCAGTGCTGCCTTAGCTCCCTGTGGTCCAGGATGTGTCCTGGCAGTGGTCAAGTACCTTCATGCTCCACGCCTGGGACAGATAGGTCTTCGGTGCCTTGCCAGAGGATCTTGCCTGTCTCCGCATCCCGCAGGTTCATCCAATTTCTGATCAAGGATGGTTAAGCAGAACTGCGGCTCCAAGATTGGTCCCGCTTTGTATCGCAGGTGTCTCACATCTGCTCTTCCGACCTCCCGGCAGGCTGGCCACACTGCTGAGGGTCACGAAGGAGAGCAGACCTGCTACAGAGCACGCAGAAACTGGATGCTCTTTCTATGCCACACAAGGAGGGTGCTGCTGACACTCTTTGGAAAACAGTATCAAAATTCAAGTTTATGAGATCTGTGACTGGGAGGTGACCTGACAGAGCAGCTTGGAGCACTCCACTGTCAGGATACAGTCCTTGCAGGTGAGCACAAGAACCAAGGCTGGGAGCAGCCTGGCCCAGACCAGGTTACAGTACCCGCCAGCATACGTGTGGCTCAAGACTGAGGGTGGGCCAGTTCATAGCACCCACTGGCAGATGGGAGAATCAGGACTGGGTACAGAACAGGCTGGGTTGGGCCACAACACCAACCAGTTCACATTAGGGCTGGTTCATATATTGGAGGCTGGCTGGACTGGGCTAAGCTCCAGCACCTACGAGCATGAGCTGTGACTGGGGGTAGACTGGACCAAGCCAGCCTGCAGCACCCGCTGGTGAATGCCAATGAGGCAAGTCTTGCCACACTGGGCTGCAGCATCCACCAGCATATGTAAGATCCGGCAGGGGGTGGGGAGTAGCGAGCAAGGTAGGGGGGTTTGCGAGGAATACCCTGCTGGTGAGTATGAGTGTGAGAGCTGGGACTGGAGACAGATCAGGCTGGGCAGAGCTACAAAATCTGCTGGTCTGCATGTGAGCCAGGTTAGGGGAAGAGCCAGGCTGGCCTAAGTGACCATATCCGCTGTGGCATTAATGAAGCAGAGTAAGTGTGGGCTGGTCGGGCTTTGCCACAGCATCTGCTAGCAGGTGTTGAAATTTGGGTCAAGTCTTGACAGGCCAGACTGCAGAAACACCTTGGAAGCACAATATCTGGGGTGGGAGTGGACCTAGTAGGGAAAACTGTGGGCACCTTTCTGATGGGCTGCCACTCCCATCAGAGAGCATGAAAACCAGGGCTTCGGGTGGGCCTAGCTGGACAAGGCAGTGGTACCAGCCAGCATGAGTGTGGGGTTGGTCAGGCTGAGCTAGGCTCCAACACCAATTAATGAGTAAGAGAGCCAAAAGTGATGCAGGATAGACTGAACCAGTCTGCTGCACATGCCAGCATATACCGGGGCTGTGGGAGACCTGGGGGCGGGGTTACTGGGTTTGTTCTGGTAAGGCTACAGTTTCCATTGGTGTGCATCAGGGCCGAGTGTGGTGGGCAGCATCAGGCTGGGCCACAGCATCCATTGGTTTGCATATGAGATGGGGCTGGTGACAGAACTGACCAGGCAACCTCAACCACCAGTGTGTGTGCAGTGTGATGTGGATGATGGACTGAGCTGGACCCACACTGGCCGGCACACACAGGAGTCAGGTTAGATTCACCTCTGGTGAGGTTTCTTTGGGGACCCCTCAACTGGACCACTGGACTCAAAACTCCAACCACGGTGAAAAGCACAGACTCTGTGGTCTGACCACGGAGTGCACATGTCAGAACTGGGTCTCCATGTTTGTTGAAGTCCATGTAGCGGATGGCATGCCCAGATCACATGCATGCCATGACAACCATGCCCGCAGAGGACGTCTAATACCATGGAGAGCAGAATAAATTGGACAGCTCTTCTGGCCAAGCTTTGACAGTAAATGTTTGGGTGAATGGAGACTAAGGTGGACTATGTCAGCCAATGGACCTCGGAAGAATTTCCTCAACCTTGGAGCAATGAAATCAACAGCATTTCAGAACTATTAAAACCACTGAAGCAGTATCCTCGGAACATGCTCCACACTGGGAACCCTGGGATGACACTGGGTGGCTGTCCCACATCTGTGGATACTGATGTAGTTGAGCTGTTGGGAGCGGCTCTCTCCCCTTCCCTCCCCACTTTCCCCAGATATAGAAAGAAAAAGGAGATGGGAAATAGTTGTCTCATCCACTTTCCCCCATTTCTTGTCCCTCCCCACACTGCTCAGTGGTCCACATGGACATGCATCCCTCTTAACTATGTGAACATCAGCAAAAATAAAACAAATTTATTATTAGGAAAAACCCAAGATTTTGAGATACATGCAAGTTTTGTTTTTCATAATTTGCATTTTCTCAAGTTTAAAAATTTTTTTTATTTGAAGCAAGAAGACAAAAAAAAAAAAAAGAGAGAGAGAGAGAGAGAGAGAGAGACAATGTTCTTCCCCCCCCCCCCTCATTCCTCAAACGCCTACAATAGCCAGGATTGGGTCATGCTGAAGATTTGAGCTGGGAACTTGATCCAGGTCTCCCATAGAGGTGACAGGGACCCAACCATCTGAGCCATCACTGTGGCCCCTCAGGGTCTGCACTGACAGAAGCTAGAACTGGAAGCAGGGACTTGGAATTGAGTTAGCATGTGGGTAGCTTTAAAGTTTTATTGGAGGAACAGTACAGTGGCATATCAGGTTACTCCTCCGTCTATGGCACTGCCATACTGGGATGTCATGTGGATGCCATACTGGGTCTCAGCTGCTTCACTTCTGATCCAGCTCTTTGCTGGCCTGGGAAAGCAGTGGAAGGTGGCTCAAGTCATTTGTACCTGCATGGGAGACCCAGAAGAAGCTCCTGGCTCCTGCCTTTGGATCAGCTCAGCTCTGGCTGTTGTAGCCACTTGGGGAATGAACCAGTAAGTAGAAGATCTTTCCTTCTCTATAAATATGCCTTTCCAATAAAAATAAATAAATCTGGGCCTGGCACGATAGTGTAGTAATTAAGATCCTTGCCTTGCATGTGCCGGGATCCCATATGGTTGCCAGTTCTAATCTCGGCAGCCCTGCTTTCCATCCAGCTCCCTGCTTGTGGCCTGGGAAAGCAGTTGAGGACAGCCCAAAGCCTTGGGACCCTGCACCCGCATGGGAGACTTGAAAGGGCTCCTGGCTTCGGATTGGCGCAGCATCGGCCGTTGCGGTCACTTGGGGAGTGAATGATCGGACGGAAGAGCTTCCTCTCTGCCTCTCCTCCTCTCTGTGTATCTGACTTTCCAATAAAAATAAAGAAATCTTTCAAAAAATAAATCTTTAAAATAATTATTGAAAAGGCAAAGAGAGGTAGACATAGATGAAGAGAGATCTTCCACCTGCTGGTTCACACTTCAAATGGCTGCAGCAGCTGGGCTTGGGCCACACTGAAGCCCTGAACTCCATCCAGGTCTGCCACAAGGATGGAGAGACTCAAGTCCATCCGCTGTCACCTGCTGTCTCCTGGGGTGTGCAGAAACAGGAAGCTGGGATCAGCAGCAGAGCCAGCACCTGAACTCTGATAGAAGACACAAATATTGCAAGTAGAATTTTAACCACAGGGTCAAATGCCCTCCTCATAGAACATGGGTATTTTAAGTACTAGGTCAAACTCCTGACCCTCTGAACTTTTTGAGGACTCCCTGTAAGAGTTCAAAGACTGTACGTACTTAAAAATGGCAGGAAAAGAATAGGAAATAAGGCAACAGTGAAGACCATGGTCTGTGAGCTTCACTCGCAAATGCAGAACTTTCAATAGGTTTTTAGTGTCCCACTTTCAAATGTGAGAAGACAGCCAAGTGTTGCCAGGCACTCAAGAAAGCATTTACTATGAAGGACAGGCCAAAGTAGATGAGACACTCCAGCTGTAGGCACCTGCCTAGGTTGCTTGGTACCTAGGCAAGTGTTACACTGCTGGGAGAAAAGCAGCCAACAGCTGACAGGCACTCAGGGCCTGCTTAAAGCCAGATGTGTGCTAACTATACCAGTATGCCAGCACAGCTGCTTGTTCTAGTTTTTATTTTTAAAAAAATACGTGGGGAAGGTGGGGAATACCGGGCTGGGGACACACCACCTAGCCCCCAGGTGGGAGGCTGCAGATTACTTGAGCAAGGAGACCTGAGGATGTATTAGAGTGGGAGCGGCTGAGGGCATATTTCACAGGGTAGGAATGACTTCTGGGGGCTTCCATGGACTGGGCCACTGCACTCACAGACAGGCAAGGGAGCTGAGCGCACGTCTGGCCAAGGTACCTACCCACATGGGAGACCTGGACTGGGTTAAATGGTGTTGCCTGCCACCGGCTGGTACGCACAAAAGCTGGGGCGGGGGGGGGGGTGCGTTCCTAGCTGGGCTAGGCTGCAGCACGCATCAGAACACATCTGGGGGCAGATTCTTTAGGGAACTTGTGGGTTCTCCTGTGTGGTACTGCAGCACTCTCTGGTTTGTGCAGAGAGCTGCGTGTGGTGACAGGATGAGCCAGGCTGGACCACAGAAGTCAGGGCTGGAAGGAGGCAGGGCTGGCCCAGGCTGCAGCACCTGCCATCACATGCAAAGGTGGGGACTGAGGGCAGACCATACCAAACAGGGTTGTGGCATGCATGAGATCTGTGGCTGGGAGCAAGCCTGGATGGAGAACTTGGGGAACTCATTGCTAGGCTGCAGCTCCCGCTGGGCAGATCAAGTACCAGGGCTGGGGCTGGGCCAAATCAGGCAAGGCTGAGTTTGGTCTAGGAATAAGCCTTGTTGGGTCAGGTCACAGTACCCACTGATGTGCACATGAGATTGAAGATAGGGTATGGGTTGTGCCCAATTGGTCTGTGCTACAATACTAGCCAGTGAGAACTGAGACTGAGTGTGCGCACCTGCCACCATGTGTAAGATATGGGGCTGGGAATGCCCAGCAGGGGAATTTTGGGGACTCCCCTGCTAGGCTGTAGCTCTCACTGGTGAGTGTTAGAGCTGGGGTTGGGGATGGACTGGGCTGGGCAAGGCTGCAGTACCCACATCAGCATGTGCATGGACTGGGTTTGGGGTTTGGGCTGGGTTCCAGCACCTGCTGGCCTACCCCCAGAGCCAGAATGGGTGTGGGCCAGTCAGGCTAAGCCACAGTACCTGCCTGCAAGTGCCATGACTGGGTGCAAGTTATATCAGATTACA